TGAGCATTCTCATTCTGAGACCAGACAAATGAAATATTAGAGAAAGATGTTCTTTTTTATCTTCTCATTATTGTGGCAAAAAGAAGGAAAAATGAGTCCTCATGAGTAGTCAAGAGGTAGAGCTTTGGATTCTGCAGCTCCATGCTCTATCACTAAGCCAACAATACATGTATAATTTTCCATTGTGTTGCATTTGCTCAAAAGTCAAATTAATCACAGCAAGCAACCAATGTAAAATAGAATTTTTTGGCAAATTAGTAATTACGTAAAGTCAACTAACTTAAAAACTGGGATTATGTGTATGTAAGGCAGCTGTGGGTCTACATGTTGACCAAGTGTCAGTTGATACCCTCATCAGCTGATACAAGCAGTTTATAACCCCGTTTTAGGTCAAAAGCTCTTGCTGATAATAAATCCAAGTTGTTGGTAATGTATCAGCCAAGTTTTAGCTGCATGTATCATTTACTGTACATGGGGAGCCTTATGTGGCAAAATTTAAACTCGTACTGGGCCATAGTATGCAGATTTACATTTCTGCTGTGATATTGCATGAGGCAGATTATCCTTAATTTTACTAATTATCCATTTTCAACATTTCTTTTACATGGAAATATAGCTCTATACCCAAGGTTGTGGAATTCTGGTGACTCACTGTTTCAGATTTTAAATTTATTTTTTTTGCAACTTCTATTTCAACTCTTGGCAAAGTTACCAGCTCCTGTCAAATATTTGTTTTTGCACGCCATCATTTTCTCAACTTCATTAGAAACTGATATGAGAAACCGAGGCAGGAAAATGAAATGGATAAATTTGTATTGTTTGCATCAAAAATCCAGATTAAAAGTGCTGAAAAATTGGGAGGAAGTCTGAAGTGTTTTGCTTTTCCTCACCAGGAAAAAGTACTTTGTGGAGTTTCCTTGCCTTCTCTAGTCATTCCTTTTACCTTTGGAATTCATGTCTCTTCTCTGATTTTTTTAGTTCTTTTCTCTAATTAGGATTGTTTTTTTGCTTCCAAGTTCCATTGATGTCATAAACATTGCATCAGCAAAAGCTTTAAAACATGTGTCCTCCCATCTGGCCAATATTCTGAATGAGTGGCTAGGTTGGCTTGTATTAAATCGAATGCGTGACTGATATTTATTTCATGTAATTCACATTTAAAGCTTTCTTACACATTGGTTTGAGACGTGGTGAAGAATTTCTGTTTTATTATTGGGAGGGAAATCATTCTTACTAAGATATGGTGAGGGTTTTAATAAAGGTGCCGTAAATCCCCACTATTTTTTGTTTAGTTTGCCATCAAGTGTAGGTGATGTTGAAGACAGCTTTTTAAGGAGACTTGAGGCATATTTCTCAGGTAAATGTATTNAGCGCCTTTCAAACCTAGTTTGTTTTCATTCGCGTTTTAAGTTTTTGGATTGTAATTTGTCACTGAGCTGGTTACCTCACAGTTAACATTGAATAGTAAGATTTTGAAAAGTAAGTAGTTCAGATAATTTGTTTACAGTTTACAATTGCAATTGTCGAGGCTTAAATATCTAGCTCACACTTAGACTTACTCTTACTTACTAAACTAAGTGCATGTTGCCTACCTGCTGCTGTGATGTTTCTATTGCCGCTGAGGTTTAACGTGCGTAGCTGACAGTTGTTGTTTGTAATGGCTTTAGCCAAGTGCTGTGCTCCTGTGTCTGTGATGTTATTGCCTCTGAGGTTTAACGTGTGTAGCTGACAGTTGCTGTTTGTAATGGCGTCAGCCAAGTGCTGTGCTCCTGTGTCTGTGATGGAATTGCATGAGAGGTATAACGTGTGTAGCTGACAGTTGTTGTTTTTAATGGCGTCAGCCAAGTGCTGTGCTCCTGTGTCTGTGATGTTATTGACTGAGAGGTGTAACCTGCGTAGCTGACAGTTGTTGTTTGTAATGGCGCCAGCCAAGTGCTGTGCTCCTGTGTCTGTGATGTTATTGCTGTTGAGGTTTAACGTGCGTAGCTGACAGTTGTTGCTTGTGATGGCGTCAGCTAAATACTTTGCTCCTTCATCTTTCAATCGATTTGCTGTGAGGTTTAACCAGCTCAGTTGAAATTTCCTACATTTTAACAATTTACAAATCTCAAAACAACCTAGAGGACCCAGGTTATTGACACTCAATTCTAGACGTGAAATTTGTTGAACATCCATAATTACATTTACTAACGAAGAACAATCAACAGCTGTGAGGTCCATTGAATAAAAATTTAAACCGTTAAAGTTAATTTGTTGTAGTTTTCTCTGAACTATCGATTGCATTCTATCACTTTCGTTAAAACATTTTAACAATGTCATTGCTAAATACCGTTTTCCTTCAGTCGGCCACATGGTTACTTTCCTTCGCCTTTCACTCTCTGACAACAGTTTATAGTCTATAACAGTTCTCTTTTCAGTTTCCACAGGAAGAAGGTCTGTGATAATTTCGCTCGGTAGGTTTTCTTTATCGTTCATTAGTCCTGCTAGGAACTGGAAAACCAGTTGCCATTTTCCATCCATGATGTTTTGGGAAACAAATTCCGTCAGTTCACTTTCCTTCATTGTATTAACTATGTGCCTCGCAGCGAAAAACTCTTGCATTGTTAAGTGAATGAAGCAGAATTGTGGTTTATATTTAACCAGTGCAGTTTGTCGATCGGGTAAGCGGTGGAAGAGAGCGCTGTCTTCTATTCCACGTACTTCGTTTCCTTCAAGGATAAGCTTCCCTTCTTTAATTCCTTCAAAGGCCGCTCTTCCTAGTTTCTCGAATTTGTCTTCCACTTCAGTTGGCAGTTCATCTGGATCAAAGTCTTCGCGAGTGAAACGTTTATCGCGAAATTCTTTGGTGTGTTTGAAATAAAACACTTTCACTGCAATCTTGTAAATCGTTGTTAATTTGGAAGGGAGGGTAACGCCAGCGGAACGTTCGAACTGCGATATCTGTGACAGACTTGAGCAAATGATAAAGCTGTTCACAGGGATGTAACAGAGCGAAAATAAGTTCATGTTGCTGCTGATGTGTCGCCATAGTGTTTCGCCTGCTTGTTTGTCATCTCCAGCGAATTTGTCAACATATTCTCTAATTTGCTCGGTTGAAAACCCCAGGATTTCTACGGTTTTGTCGAACTTAAGATGTGCGATGCCTTCCAAAGCCGTAGGTCTCGTAGTCGTCACAACCGACGCATCTTCGAGGAATTTCCCAGTCACAAGCAACTGATAAAGGTCTTGGAGCGGCAGCTTTTCTTCGATGCTGGGAAAGCGAGGCTTTAGGACGGCCATGTTCGCGCCATGTTTAAATTCGTCGAATCCATCAAAAATTATAAGGACATTCTCAGGATGCTGCAGGATGTACTTCCAGACTTCATCGTGCAATTGACTTGAGGGAGAATATTCTGACTCGATCAGTAGTTCCCTGAGGTTAAGGTTCTTTGCCGAGTTAAATCTCCTGAATTTCACTAGGAAAGCAGCATCAAAATGGATTTTGGTACCAGATGTGGCATTGCAAACCTTATCAATTGCCCAGTCTCTAAGAATTTTGGTGCAACACAATGTCTTGCCGATTCCAGGACGACCGAAAATCAAGACTTTCTTATTTTCATCATTTAGGAGGTCTTTCAGGCTTTTCAGTTGCGATTCTTCTTCGCGCGACTTTGAATAAACTCTGAGTTGTTCCTGTCTGTCTGTAGTAAAGTGGTACACAGCCCTGTCGGGAATGACCACAAGGTTTGTGTAAATGTTATCCAGAGTCAAATCTTTAGCAGCTGTTTGTTCCCCTGGAGGACCTGAAAACGGTGATCGGAGTTCGGCGAGATAATGGGTGTCTCTTTTAATAATTTTCTTTGTGTTCGCGATGAATGTTTGAAGCTGTTCAGAGTTCTCTTTTCCGCTCCTTCCATCAAGCTGTCGTGGTTCTCGATGCGACTCGATTTGGTCTCGTGGCTGAAGTAGGACAACAGGATCTTGTGGAGGCTCTGGGCACAACGAGACTTGGGTAGGACGGTGTTCACGCTCTCTTAGAAGAAGTTGAATGAGTTCATGTTCTCCTCTTTGAGCTTCCTGAAGCAACTTGTCATCGGTGGGATTTAGATGGGTTTTTAGAAACTCTGAGTCTTGTATGAATCTCCTCTCTTTGCATGCTCGTAACAAAATGTAGACGGTTTCAATCAGAATGCCAGCGACAAAAGTTCCATTCACTATAAGGACAGTGTACATCCAGAAGGTTTTCCTTTCCGCTCGTCGATTGTAACATTCGTGAAAAGTACTGTTTGGGGTGGTGTTAGATGAATTCCTTGGCTGATTGGTTTCATAGTTAAAATAACAGTCAAACTTTGAGGAAAATTGTAAAGAATAAAGCCACTGAGTTTGTAGGACTATGAAGAGAATTCCTAAGACAAGTCTTGTGGATAGTTGACAACAATAAGCGATGAAAAGTTTGTGTCCGCGGTTTTTTTCTGGCCTTCTTGAGTTCCCTTGGCCGTGCGACAGTCCGCTCTCGGGGTCTCCGTTACGGTTACTTGAGGACAAATGATCAACTGTATGTCTCACTGATTGGGAGTACATAGCACATACGATTCCAATAAGGCCGAAATTGATGATCACGAAGCCATATATAGGGATGCCGTGATTGTTGTACTGTTTCTCGTACTTCTCGAAACATTTTCCACGGACTAGGTCGGTGTAATCGCCCCTCGCTCCACCACAGCGGAAATCAAATCTTTCTTCACTGTTCTCCACTTCAGCAAAAATGCCAAAGAAGACTGCGCTGATCATGAACCAAATTAAAACTGCGGCATAGCTAATTTTGTTGAAGGTTTTTGGCGCAATTAGCTCTTTGAGATGATCCATCGTTTCAACGCTGTTGCATTCACGCTGTTTCGATGAAATGAAAAACGCTTTATAATTTGGCTTGCGGACTTCGGTTACGCATTGTTTCAGATTTTTAGTTTCAATGGCAAAACTGCAATTTCAACTCCTGGCAAACTTACGGCTCTCAATGATTTGTTCTCCCACGCTATCATTTTCTCGACTACATGGGAAACCGAAGGAGGAAAATGAAAGGCTTCGGTCAAATTTTTCCTTATTTGAAATACGTCAGATTTATATGAAATTTCTTTGAAAGAGGCGACATAGAAATGTTTTCAGGTATGAGGAGAAATCGTGAGTTGATATCGTAAGGGCTTTTTACTGAGTATGAAAACCTCCCCATGACTTGACTGCGGTCCTCGACTTCCATTTTCCCACAGAGTTTGCAAAATCACATGTTTTCTCTGTTTCATCTGTTTATCTGCAAATTGTGACTCATCGGTAACTGAGAAAGCGGATATTCTCGTAGGAAAGTGAAACCATGCATTTTTGACTAACACTAAAAATTAGCATTACTGCAGAGCATCCTTGTATTCTCCAAATAATATTAGAACATAGCTTGCAGAGTCGCGCAATCAATTTCATTATACGTAAGCGTGCTCAAAATGCAGATAGTGCACGCTGATAGCGTCAGCAAATCC